GACACACTAGATTGAGCCTCAGATAGTCACTGTTTATCTAAATAGGTATTGAAACTAGTAGATGATTCCAGTGTGAATGTTATATAACTCATTATGATTCATTTGTAGGAAGCGTCATCTTCAGCAACTACTTCGCTAAATCTCAGAGCTGTGACTTCGGAGTAGAGGAAAAATATTGTTGGTGTCATTTTCTAGTTTTACCTTTTTGTGCTCGTAGTGTTTCCTATGACTGCGGGGTCAATTGTTGAAGTTAACTAATTGATCCTGCTTTCACAGGATATACTTTAGTTCACAACCGACATATAAAAGGGTTCAGGACCATTATCAATAACAAGGGATTACCGGAAAAGACAAAATATTGGTGTGGTGTCATTGACCAATTCGACCAGTTCTACCATTTTTGAGGTTGAAGAGTGTCCCATGACTGCGAGGTCAATTGCTGAAGTGAGCGAATTGATCCTGTTTTCATAGGATACACTTTGGTTAACAACCGATACAAGAGGAGACAGGACCACCATCTCAAACTTGGAAAGCATCGCGAAAATCAAGATCTGAAAACCATTTTGAAATGTTTTAATAGACAACACATTTCTTGGATCTTTTTTTCTGTTGTAGATGTGATGAAACCTGGACTTGGCCCCCTTTTCCATGATACGGGGGACGTGATACATTTACTGTAGTTTCTTCGCAGGTAGTATCGCCTTAGGCTTCCATTTTGCTGAAGTGTGGATATCCGTCTGTATTTGATATAAAGATTTAAAAAGTGTGAATACCAAGATATTCATTATGTTTAATGTGAAGGTGACGTCGTCCTGAACAACCACTTTGCAAAATCCTTCAATTTTTTACCTTTTGGTGTTCCCTGTGACTGAAATGGATAAATGTACTTCGATTTCATACGATATACTGTGCTCACATTCAACTAAGTCAGAGGGGACATGCCTATCATCACAAACCACAGGGTTACTGTGGAATGAAGAAATAATGATATGCTTTTTTCGTATTCTTGAAATAGAGGCAGTCTGAAAGTTTAATGCTGGTTGTATCAGTTTAGGTGAGATTTGAGTTCTCATAATGCAAAATAAATGTTGGGAGCCTGATAAGTATTCATTGTGATTTATTTACAGATATTTACAGATCTTGAGATACCGGTTCGTCCAAATCTTTTGCGCTTTGAGCTGTTGGTGTTTCTTGTGTCTTCGGAGTACATTTTTGAATTTGAAAAATGTACTTCGATCCCTCAGGATATACTGCGTTTCACATTCAATCAAGTCATACTGATCAGTATTCATTGTGATTTATTTGCAGGTGAGGTCATCTTGAGCTGCCCATTGGCCCATTTCTTTCATCTTTGAGTATGGTGTTTCCTCTGACTTTGGGGTAAATTATTGAAATTGAAATCTTTGCTCCATGGTCAGAGTATATGCTTTGTTCACATTCCAACGACTCAAGGAGGAGCATGTTCACCATCATGATTCTAGGAAAGAACATGGAACGAAAAATATAAGACAAACTAGATTGAGCCTCAGATGTCACTGTTTATCTGAATAGGCATTATAACTGATGAATGATTCCAGTGTGAATGCTATTCAACTCTTTATGTCTGCAACTAGTTTGCTAAATCTTGGAGCTGTTAGTGTTTCCTTCGAAGTGCATTGCAAAAATGATAAATTAACTTCTATTTCATAGATACCGATTCGCCCAAATCTTTTGAGCTTTGAGCTGTTGGTGTTTCCTGTGACTTCGGAGTACATGGTTGAAATAGAAAAATGTTCTTTGATTTCACAGGATATACTGCGTTCACAATCAACGAAGTCAAGAAGGGACATAGCCACCGTCATGAACCAGGAGGTTACCGTGGAAGGGGGAAATATTGGTGAGATGCTCATTTTCGTATTCTAAATTGAGAACAGTCTGCAATTTTGTCTATTGCTTTCATCAGTTCATCAAAGATCTGAGTTTTTATGTCATGAAGTGATTATTGATTACTCTGTATCGAAATAGGTATTGAAACTTTTGAATGGTTTCAGTGTTAATATCATTTGATTCATTCAGTTCATTTGCAGGGGGTGTCATCCTGAGATACCGGTACGCCTAAATCTTTTAAACTTTGAGCTGTTGGTGTTTCCTGTGGCTCCGGAATACATTTATGAATTGGAAAAATGTATAACGGTCCCACAGGATATACTGCGTTTCACAATCATCTAAGTCAAAAGGGGACATGATCACCGTCATAAACCAAGAGGTTACCGTGGAGTGGAGAAATATTGGTGAGATTCTGATTTCCGTATTCTAAAATTGAAAAGATTCTGCAATTTTGCTTATTGGTTTCATCATTTCATGAGAGATCTGAGTTTTTATATCATGAAGTGATTATTGATTACTCTGTATCGAAATAGGTATTGAAACTTTTAAAAGTTTCAGTGTCAATACCATTTGATTCATTCAGTTTATTTGCAGGGGGTGTCATCCCGAGATACCGGTTCGCCTGAATCTTTTAAACTTTGAGCTGTTGGTGTTTCCTGTGGCTCCGGAATACATTTATGAATTGGAGAAATGTATAACGGTCCCACAGGATATACTGCGTTTCACATTCAACCGTGTCAAGAGGGGACATGGCCACCGTCATAAACCAGGGGGTTACCGTAGAATGGAAAAATATTGGTGGGATGCTTATTTTCAGATTCTAAAAGTGAGAACATTCTGCAATTTTTGCCTATTGCTTTCATCAGTTCATGAAAGATCTGAGTTTTTATATCATGAAGTGATTATTGATTACTCTGTATCGAAATAGGTATTGAAACTTTTAAAAGGTTTCAGTGTTAATACCATTTGATTCATTCAGTTCATTTGCAGGGGGTGTCATCCTGAGATACCGGTTCGCCTAAATCTTTTGAGCTTTGAGCTGTTGGTGTTTCCTGTAGCTCCGGAATACTTTTATGAATTGGAAAAATGTACTTCAATATCATAGGATATACTGTGTTCACATTCAACTGAGTCAAGAGGGGATATGCCCACCATCATAAGCCACACAGGGTTACTGTAGAATGAAGAAATAATGAGATGTGTATTTTCGTATTCTTGAAATAGGAACTCGAATAATGCGAAATGAATGTTGAGAGAGAGTAAGTATTCATTGTGATTTATTTGCAGGTTGGGACATGTTGAGTGGCCAGTTGGCCCATTTCTTCCATCTTTGATTATAGTGTTTCCTCTGACTTTGGGGTGAATTATTGAAATTGAAATTTTTGCTCCATGGTTAGAGTATATGCTTTGTTCACATTCAACAGACTTGAACTTTTGGTGGTTCTTATGACTTCGGAGTACATTATTCAATTAAACGTATATACTTCAATATAATTCAAGATAAAATCTCCCCACAGTTGATGTTGCCAGTTAAAATTTTGTTCAAAAAACATACATCGGAAATAATTCTTCTATTCTTTGAAGATAATAGATTCATCTGATCTCTAATGTTATATGCATATTCTCCCCTTCTTCGACCTAAGTTGTATGCACAGATCCTCAGGAAAGTGTTTTGTACGGCTTCAATTTGGTTTATGTGTATCTCATAATATGGGCACCAAATTATTGAAGCGAACTCCAATAATGATCTAACTAATGCACAATATAATAACGTGAGAGTGTTCAAACTGAATTCCTTACATGATCTATTGATGAAGCCCAACATCTTGAGTGAATTAGCTATAATATACTCATTATGAGATTTGAAGTTCAATTCACGATCAAACATAATTCCTAAGTCCTTTATCACTGATTTTCAATTAATTGGTATATTATTGATACTGTAGTCATGTAGAACAGGGTGAATAATTCTAGAAAATGTTTGGCAGAAACATTTGGATATATTCAAATTCATTTGATTCATAACACACCAGATAAAAATTGTGACAAATCTTCTTGTGAGAGTGAGACATCGTTTGTAGAAGAAATTGATTCGAATATTTTCACGTCATCAGCGAAACTCAGTACCTCACTATGTTTTATAATTGTAGTTAGGTCATTAATAAATAGGTTGAATAGCAAAGATCCACAGTGGGAACCCTGAGGAACACCCGAAGGAACAGGAATTGTGGATGATATGAGCATTTTCCATTTCGAATACTTCAACAATCCATATCAATGATGAATATTGAAAGCAGATTTTTTTTTTCAGATGAAAAACATTAAGGACAGTGAGAAATGGAAGATTTTAGTGTGGGCGGTTTCACATTCTTTGACATTTCTTGTTATTCAGCTCAAGAAGTGTGAAAAAATGTAAAATTACTCATGCTTCACACCTACTCTGGCATAATAAAGATGGAACGAAGTCCTCACGACGATGATCCCCATCACAGGGCACTCCACATTCAGTAAAAAATTTGTAGGAAATAACAAGTACTGGTTTTCTTGACAATGATTTATAATGTCTTTTTCAACATAATTGTTAAATGTCCTTAGTAGTTTCTTTCCAGATAAAAACTTCAACTTCAACTAATTCAACAAGGGTTGAAAAATTGTGAGAGGTTTTATATTTCTCGGGAGTAACCTGTCATTTGAATCAGGTTATGTTGGGGAAATATGAAAGCAATCACACTGAGCAACTTGATTGACTTGTGTCGTGTTAGGATGAAGAAGGTTTTGAATACGTACCGATGCCGATGTTTTCCAACTCAGTACCTACTGTGCACATTCCGCATAAATTTTAGGAGCAACTGCAAGATTTGTATCAACTTCACCGTGAACTAGGATGCTATAATTTTCTTCTTCATATTATTACTTACATAATTGATAAATGTTGTTTCGTCTTTAACTCTCTTTTGAATTACGTTCTAGTTCATTATTCTTATTATTTTTCTCACCCAAGTGTTTTCTGAAAGCATTTTTGTTTGTATTCGATTTCTATGTTTCAGTACCGCGATATAACTGCTTGCCGTCATTTCGAGAATATATCGCGCTCCCCCCGTATATGATATTTCGTCAAAAACGGCTCGAATGCTGAACAAGCTGCCGAACTGAAAGGAAGATTGGTGTTACTGCATGATTCGAGACGAGTAGCTGAAATTCTCAAGGTAAGCGCAGTTCAGTTCAATTTGAAATATATGCTTTCTATATTTACAAAAATCACGCAAGAGCACAACTTTCAAATTCACGTCACAAAAAATACTGTCCACATATATTGTTACTCGAAATAATTTTGTTCCTTCTAACCGGATGTTCGTGATTTGAGTTTGAACGCTGTTTTTTGCGAATTTGAGTAGTATTACTGCTATCAAGTAACAACAAAAAGGTGGTTTTTCCGTAATTTGAATACTCGCTCTTTTACTCATTTTAGTTTGTAAATTAGGGATAGATTCAATGAATTTGAATTCAATATTCAAATTCATTTATTCCTAATTGCAACAGCAGCCATCTATAATTTGGTCGATTCTGATTTCTGAATTACGGCCAGAGAAGAACTGGGACTGTTTCTTCTGCACCTGAATTGAATATATAAAGTTTTTTCAATGTTCACTATCAAATTATTAGCATTGCACCAATTTCTGAAAGAGTTATTTATGACTTTATTTACAGTCGATAGTTACATATTAAAAAGAAACAAAAACCTTAAATCACCGTACGATTTAGTCTCGATACACGGTTGTTTATTTCAATTCATTATTTGCAAATATTTGAGTATAATATTGGTTTTCATGTTCAAATTAATCTATCATTCATTAATCAGTTTAACATTCCAACAGTTTTTTTTTGCTTACGTTTTTTATTATTTTTTTTATGAAGATTCTTGTTGTTTTTTAACAGTTTGGAAATACAAGGGGCGAGCAGTAATTTCAGTTCTTCATCACAAAATTAAACATGAAGCAACAAAACCAAATTAAATATCATAAGGCTATGCAAGAGTAATGCTTTGACAGTATGTGTGAATTGCTAACTTATTCAGCTAATTCCTTAAATCTCTATGACATTTTCAAGGCAAGGCATTCTCATATTGATAAAATTTATGAAGAGTTTGAATTCCATGATGCAGTGTTAATTTCACTTCAGATTTCGACAGATGTCTACAATAATGATGAATTTAATGATCTATCAAAGTCTTTTTATCAAAATCATTACTCTCCTAAATCCATTCATGAATCTTTTTGTTATTACCACACCACATATCAATTCAAATATTGAATCCCATATCAAGCTACCAAAAATTGAATCATTTAAATTCAATAGAAACATCAAATAACGGAAAAGCTTCATTGGACCTTCAACTATTTGTGAAAATAAGTGTTTCAAAAATATTGAAAAATTCAATTAACTGCTTTTCTCCTTTTCTGGAATCATGAAAAAGAATAACTCAATAGATGCTAACTATATAAATGCTTTTGATTTAGCTACTATCACTCCTCAGAATAGTTCTTATTAGTCAGTGGACTATGCTTGAAGACTGGCAGTAAACAAATGTAAAGAAATGAACTTTAAATGTTCAAGCCGTCTCGGATATACCTACCTACACAGTAGGTTTGATGTTCGCTCCAACTTAAGACGAGGAATGAAATACTCGGAAAGAATTTCGATTATCAATTATGGAATATCATTCACTTTAGTTCGATGATGGTCACTATCTCGCACTGACGAGTGGCTTAGGAGCCCAAAACCAGTCTGTAAGTGTGCCCGTTCCAAGATTGAAGTTCGACTCTTTCAGCTGTATTGCCAATTGCATATACAGGAAATTTTCTAGGAAGATTTCTGCACTGACGCCTGTCGGATATAATCCAACGCCGTTCGTGGTATTAGCCAGTGGAGTAGTTGTTTTCTGATAGGCGTCAGTCCATTCAACCTACTGTGTAGGTATATCCGAGATGGGCTTGATAGACTCTTCAGAATCTCCGAACATTGATAGACACTTTAACGGAAAATCTTGCGCCATCGAAAAATTTGAGCTTCCCAACGGATCAGTGGTGCTTCTTGCTTTTCAACTTGTTTCTTAGACGTCTCCAAAACAGATTCTCGATTCGAATCAGAAATCCCTTCAGATTAAATTCTCACATTTGTATCGGTGGTAGAGTTTGTAACGAAACAATGTGGCAGCCTTGAAAGGGATGCTGGTCATACTCGTTTAGGCCAAACAAAATCAAACAGTAAACCTCGTAATATATCTCCAATTCCCATTCCTAGTTACTATCTGTGTAACGCCACTCGCCAACGGATTCAATATTGTGAAATTCCATAAGTATTGCGTGAATTGTTTAGGTTCAATGAATCTTTTCAGGGATTGCAGTTAACGTTCACATCGTATGAAATGTGGTCACTCCCATCACACACTATTACATGTCAGCGACTCTCCTCATTCTGTCAAACAAAAAAATAACAGCCTGCCCCTCAACAGCATTCATTAGTAAAAACCCCGTCCACTGATAGTTCTGTTTCTAGTCATCAAGCTTTAAGTAACTCAGCTTCCTCTTCACGTCTGGAATCTGATAATCAATCTGCCTCTACGTCCATCAATACCCTCTAGTCTTCATCACCCTCGATCTCGATCGTTCTTTTAGCGACACCTCCCATTGAAATCCGGGATGCCTACCATCGTATCAAAAGGATGGGGCCCTATTCGACTGTGGATCTCAAACAAGTATTCTCAGTCCAAAATGAGATTGAAATCCTCAGCTTTAGCTCTATCAGTTCAAGGTGTTAGTCAAATGGCATCATCTGTCAAAGGAGTTTGAATTCAACCTCGACTTCAAATTCCTAAACTATCATCTCGGTGAAGGATACTGTAAATTTTAACATAATTGAAGATTCCATTGGTGGTTTCTTCCCAGATAAAACCATCACTTATCCTAATTCAACAACGATTGAAAAAGTGTCAGATCATTGTTCTCAATTATTGCCTGTCGTTTGAATCATGCTAAACAACTAGATTGACTTGTGTCGTTTAAGGATGTCCATCTTAACATGGTGCACATCCAGTAGAAATTTTAGGCGTAACTGTAGATTTATGAATATTACTGGAGTTTTATCCCAACACCAAACCGTTATTTTTTACACCTTGACACATGTTTCAATCACCAAGTATCTTCCTCTTGGAGATACTACAACACCAAAGGTTCCAAACAGTGCATCACAAATGTAAGATTTATATCAACGTCAGCTTCTTGATATTATTATTGTTATAGGTGACAATCCGTAGACGGAACCGACAAACAAAAAAGCATGAAAAACAAGAAACATTTCTGGAAAGACAAAGATCTACCACAAAAACTGGAAAAATCGCTGGCACAAGTATACGAGTATTATATCTCAAGGGGACAACTTTGGAACCGATGAATAGATGAATATTTTGTTGAGAGAAATTAAAATTCAACTTATTTTTTAAACAGACAGGTATGCCTATATCGAGATGAGAATTTGATTTGATGGATGCAGTTCGAAACATGGGAACAAATAAAGATCTGCAAGGCAGCAGATTGCGGCATGGTTTGTCTAAGTTTCTTGAATTTTCTCAAGGATAAACTATGAAATCGACTGGCAGTTTGTAATGTAGATAGTATAATTAGATTACTACTACATCGAATATCAGTTGTGTTCGTTTTGTATGATGTGAATTATGTATGAAGTTTCTGAACGATTTTATTCTGTTGACATTTTTTATGTCACTAATAATCAACTTCTATTATCGAGAATCTTTCCTTCACTCTTAATTTCAGATGCTCTTCACCAAAACAGTGAGAGATAACCGATTTTTCTCTCGATGTGAGAGTTCACCTGATCTCTTTGGCCAAACGAAGAAACAGCCTTCACATCTTGACGAGAACAATGACAGCAAGTGATGAGAAAGACGAGTTCTTAAACTCATCGGTGAGTTCACTGATTGATTCGATAGATCCAGCTATTGGTCAACTTGAAATATTGGTGCGTTTTTATTGATTGAAGCAATCTATTGAATTCTGTTGAGTTTAGGAACTCGCTGGAGAATGGGAACTGTCGAATAATAACTGTCAATTAGTTATGTTGTCAGATGTCAGATTGTCAGAAAATAAACAGTAGCGGTAGTTAGTAACAATGACAAAGGTAGAATGGCCATAAATTTATTCGATACTAAGGATGTTTTTGATGATTTAAGAATATTCTGTTTTACACTTATCTTAGTTTCATGATTTTCAAGTACGCTCAAATTATTTATATAAGATGCATTTTTCCATTCCCGATACTCAGGAATTGAATGAAGGAAATGGGTCAACATTCATTGTAAGTGGCAGAGTAAAAAGTTATCCTAAATAGCTTATAGTTTTTATTTCAGGGGTACAACATCCATATAAATGGTGTCTTTCATTGTACAGTGAGATATAAACAACTGCACAATCTGAATGAGCAGTTGAGGAGAGAATTTGGGAATGATTCGGTCCCCCCATTTCCACCAAAGAAGTTACTGCCTCTTACAGACACACAGTTGGAAGAAAGAAGGATGTTGTTAGAAAAGTACATACAGACTAGTGAGTTTTTATCTGTTTAATATTTCAATTCTTTATTCATTAAAGCAGCTGTAGCCTTGAAAACTCAACTATTTGTTCTCGAAACTGGAATTTTGATATTTGAATATATCACAGATAAATATGGGTGATTGTTCAAGTTGTCATTTTATTGGCATGTCCTTTTGATATTCAAAATCCTTAATTTCTCTACAGACATTGTATAAGAAAATGTCAACCACCTGGAAAAAAAATACTCGAATTAAAAAACTCAAAAATGTGGCTAAAAGTGGCTTTAAAGTCCTCAAGAAAATATAAAAATCTCTCCACAATAATTTGTTTAATTTGAATAGAATAGTTTGACTACATGATACACAGCTGCATATTTATAGCAAGTCACACAATGAAAATCTCCATAAAGGTATGATCGAACATACACGTAAATAAAAATGGTAACACATTCAAAACACCTCACCTATCAAAATGAGAACAGAAAAATGATTGAATTATTATGAATTCAGTGAGTATCCATCATAATCATCAACCCTTTGTTTCATACATTCCTCATATACCTCAAATGAATCAAAGGAATTCTCAACTAAAAAGAATTCAATAACGTTTTCTGAAACAGAACAGATATTCAAAGATTTGGTTGGTCTATATCTGTATTCCCTGTTGTTAGGCTGATGGATATTAGATTATTAAGCGAGATTTGGTAAATTCTTACAGATCTCCAGTAGAGTATTCAAAATGAGAAGTGATGGAAGGATCATAATCTTCAACTTCTTGAAAAATGGCTTGCAAGTCTATACTTGGCATTGGATAGGATTGTTATAGCCAGAATGATATTCTATAGTTGAGATGAGTTTGGAACAGAGTGTTAATATCAAATATTTGTCTTGGATGCCGATTATTGAAATTGAGAGTTGTCTAATATGATTCCACCTACAGAGCTTTAACATTTTTTTCTTTTTGTAGTGATGTATTGGTGGTAAGTAGCCGCTTCTGTGATTTGTTGGTGTTTATCGTGAGCCTATTTGTAATAAACCATTCTTTGGCTTTATTCTGGGCTTCTCCAGCAGGTGCATTCAAGAAATAATAATTTTCGTGAGAATAAATGATGGTAGTGTTGTCTGCATTCAGTGTTGTCTGCATATATTATAAATAACAATACCTACAAAACGAAGCCCTGTGTTACTCCAAATTTTACATTCTTGAAACTAGACAAACTGTTTTTATATAGAACTGCTTGAATCAGTTTTTCGGTGCTGAAGTCACCCCCCCCTTATTATGTAATAGTTGTGTTTTTAAAGGAGGATGTCATGAACTGAAGATTCAGAACGAATTCGAGATGGAGTTTATATTAAAAATAATTCTGGTGCCGGTAAATGTATTCCTCATAATCATGAACAGCAATGTTTGTGATGAAAATTTGTTGTTTCTGAATGTAAAGAGACAAATTACAAAAATTTATAGACCTGCACATGATACGTAGGATTTTCTTTTGACCTACAAAAACTTCACAAGCCAATTCTGAGTTTAACCACGGCATATGCCATACCTCAGTCGTCTTTCAACCTTTCATTTTGTGCTTTGATAAGGTTTTAAAATTTCTAAACATGCACAACAATGTTGCTAGCTTCGAAGTAAGGTGACTACAGTGCTCTTTTCAGTTTGAGTTTGCATCTTTATGCACGCCAAACAGTTTCTAAGAATCATGGCATAGAAGAATTTCGTCATTCAATTGTATGTCAATACTATAAACAGAATTGTGATATGGATGAAATCTTGAAATATCAGTTTACTAGAACTGAAATAAAGAAAGAGTTGGTGGAACCAGGATATAAGTTTTGTCATCTTTTCTTCAGCATCCAGCATCATTATTTTTATGAGATATTAATGATGAAATACCATCAGCATAGGCTTTAAACTTTATTCTAGGAGAGAATTTTTCCATTCTCATAATTCTGGGGAAACTCAGCATACCTAACAAAAGTGTTTGTTATCCAAAAAAAAAACAGATGTATCACTGGCATACATTGTAGACAATCATGCAAGAAAGTTTTTAAAGATCTAGCTATTTTAACACTATCATCTTTATATATTTTTCTCATAACTATGAATATCAAAAGAAATGAATCACACCATTCAAAAAACAGTATGAGACATGATCACAATACTTACAGAGGAAACGAACTGAGACTACCTCACTCACGATTCGCCCTTGGGCAAGACTCGGCAAGCTATCAAGGAGTCATATGTTATAACAAAGCAACGGTTACTAAGAAATATTGAAAATTACAATACATTCAAAAAAGCTTTAATAGACCTTCTCCTAGAAAATGTCTTTTACAATGTTGAAGAATTTTTAGATTTGAATGTATAAGGTGCTTTTTCTTCAGTGTGTGTGACTAGTCTGATAAATATTGTACCGGTAATGTATATGTTATATGTGTATGATATTTTAATGATGAATAAATTCTATGTTATTCTATTCATATTCACATACTTCGAAGAAAGTTTCTATGCATCCTAAATAGACACCACAGCCATACAATTTGGATAGCAGCTGATTGTAGTTATTGTAGTTGAAAGCACAATTAAGGCCACACAAAACAAACATAGGAATTTCACTTCCTTCAATTAAGTTTTGTTAAAATAAACATATTGCACTGGTTGTTGTTTTGCCAATTTGAAAACCATGTTGAACATCTTGAAATAATTTTCCGTTGCTCAAGAAATGCAGCAGCCTATCGAGATAACCATACTTTAACACCTTATGTAGACCATTGGTGACAGTGACTGATGTATAATTTTCTAAGCAATCTGAATTCCCTTTTTCACAAATTGGCATCACTCTTCCTGTCATCAAGGCCAAAAAAAATGAACACTTGATAAATGATATAATACACTATTTTGTTAAACTTTTCTATGGTTTGATATTATTCTTTGTTTCAGTTGGACAAGATTCAAAACTAGTGTCTTCAGAATTAATAATAGGTTTTTTATTATCTGCTCAACAAGAAACAACATGTGAGAAGAAACAAGACATAAGTTCCAGTTCCAGTTTAGAATTATCATTCGAATATTTAATGTCAAAAGACAAATTGCAATGGATAACCATATCAAGTGAACAGTCGATACTGATGTCTGTTTGCTTACAGTCGCTCGTCGATGAGTTGATAATGAAGAAAAATGGTTTGAAGAGAATATCTCCTACTTGCACTAGGAGTAGTTGGTCTTATATGAAGAGAGATGGCTCGAGTCAGCTGATATCATTCGACAACGTCGATTTGGGTGATAAGGTATGGTGGTTTAGAATTTAGAGGATGATAAAGGATGACAATATAACTGGTGAAGTAAAATTGGAATAAAAGAAGAAGATTTCTTCCAGATTAGTCCATGATGATCATGGATTTGACCTTGACCTTGACCATGATCTTGGATGTTATGGTCAAGGTCAAGTCAATTTTTATAAGTGGTACATCCAATTAGCAGAACAAACATGTCTATTTTCATATATCTACTTATGTATTAATTTAGAAACAACAGGGGGTTGATAGAGGGGATTTGAAAAGAAAAGGAATGTGAGGCAGAGTGAAAAACATGGCTGCAATATTCCTATCTTTAGGTTTCAATCTTTATGATAGGATATAAGGGAGAAGCTAAGTTCCTGGTTTGAACAGGTTCATGGAGTGGCAAAAGAGTTCGAAAAGGAATTATTGTTGAAGGGGGATTGTCAAAAAAGGTGGAAGACAAACTGGTAAGTTTTGTCTTATCATTAGCAAATCGGAAAAGTCTGTAAAAATGAACTTGACGTAAGACTGTCGAGATTGGTAGTGAAGAAATAAAAAGTATTTGAAGCAAATACACCTACGAAAAATTACTTAGTTGATGTTCACGCTTTGGGGGAAAGACTAAGTCACATCACTGTCCAATCAGTTGAAGCAGGGGCCAGGGTTATTCTGCAATATCTCTGAAGCAACTTTGACCATGACCTTCGCAGGTCGCGTTTCTGAACTGCTCAAGGACACATATGAAAGTAGATTTTTTCGCTTTGCCCATTCTTCTTCTTCTAAAGATTAACTTGAACTTGGCCATAAACTTCAAGGTCACGTTCAAGATTGAATCCATGGTCACCATTGGTAAGTCTGTAAGAAATCCTTTCAACACTTTGTTTAACTTCTTCTCTGTCAATATTACAGTATAACTTATAATACCATACTATGAATTCCAAATTTGTGCAACACTTTTTTGTGATCCACACAGTCAACGGCCTTTATAGGTTGAAAGTGTAGAATTATTTTTTAACGTCCTTCCACGCTGCCGGAAATATACCTTGTTTCAGAAAATTTCTGTAAACGCCAAGATGAGAGAATACCAAAGGTAGTAGTTTGATGTTTTCAGTTAGGTCAATAAAAGAATACACTTGCGTCATCAATTTGTGCATCCAATATAATTGAGAAACTGATGAAAATGGTCCAACCAAAGAAATTACGTGTAACAATTTAGTGAACTAATTTTCTGAAACATAATACACAAAATGAAGGCGATCACATCTCCTCTCACAAAGTCGCCATCTATGGGTCGACAGAGGATTCAATTCTTGAATATCAAAGATAAATGAGGATCCTCAAGGCGGTCAGTTGCAAAGCCAAGATTCTACATCGACCACCGACGAGATTCATCCTTTGTCTTTCACTGCAAGGCAACTAGTTGTGAACTAGATCCCAAACACAATGCATTTATGATTCAACATCACAGTGCTGTTTGGACTCGTCTTTGTAGGAAAGAATTACTTAGGCTTGTCCTTTAAAGACAGTTGAGTTTGGAAATGCATTTGTGGTTCAGCCTAGCACCACTGATGAGACCTATGGCTGTCTGGTGTTTAATCATAAATGTGTTGTGTTTGGGCTATGGTTTTCCACTATTATAAATTGTTTTCAGTCACCTTGTCAGTAGAAATATAAATTATTTTCAATTCAATTCGAAATTTACTTTGTCTGAAGAATGAATTCTTATTGACAAAGCCTTGTGCGAAATATAAATAACATATATATGAATAACATATTCATATAACATATATACATAAACTATATCCGCTATCATTTGTTTGAATAAAATATCATATTTCAGTTGTTGGAACATCGGTTACGACACGGAATTAATGAAAGATCCCATAGCCCTCAACTTACTATATGTACAAACTGTGACAGAAATCGAAAAGGGCTGGATAATCGCCAGCAAAGAAGTCAAATCCAAGCTGACTAGTCTTCAAGTTAGCTTAGCTAAACGTGAATACATAGAATTAGCACAAAAACTGAAATACTATGGTTTCATGCAGTTCATGCCGTGTTACTGTGATTATCCAAAAGCACAAACGAAAGTTTTGATCGCTATAGGGGACCAAGAATTGAGTATGAGGATACTTGGGTCAGGTCCGCTAGGAAAAGAAGGTAGTTTCAAAGTGACGAGGATGAGATGTTGGAGGATCACCGCTACTCACGTAAGTATGCTTCAAATTCGAGCAGGCTAGATAGTTGTATTCGTGGTGTGGTGTTCTTATATTCTTCGAATAAGAAAACTATGTTTTTTTAACCGTCTTCTGAGTTGAGTGATTCATTTAGAATCGATCTTGATAGATCTAACTCAATTTATACATAATAATAATACAATTTTCACACTATTAATTTTATTTAAGACGGTAGTTTCATTAGTTACTGGTACGTGAAACTATGTAATAGAAAGGGGACCAGTAGAATCCTTTGCTCAATGAAGGGTGGTGACTGTAGTTCGGGTCAAGAATACATCTACTGTTTGTCTGAGTCACCTTAAGTTACTGTCAGAATGAATCTGAGTGGTGTTATCACATTTGAACTGTGTTGAGGCAAGTGGTAGGTCATTTATGAATATCAGAAAGATGAAAGGTCCCAGTATGAAACCTTTTGAGTTGCACCATACGTAATAGGATTGGAGCTTGTGTGCTGTTTTTAATCTTGACAAATTGAGTTCGGTTTGTCTAGTATGATTGAATCATTTCAGTATTATTCTGGTGGAAGTTATATGAGTTTAATGATATAAGCGCTGATAATGAACTTGATTATTATAATGTAGAATATGCAGATGACATAAATTTTATACTACTTAACACATCCTCAGTATGAACAACTCATTGAGAACTGCAACAAAGCATCCACCGAATTTAGTAAATACTGTCAAGAAAATGGCCTAACATTGAATGCAGAAAAGACGAGATATATGCGATTTCTACCAAAAAATATGACATTTGATTCCAATCCTCATTTACATATTGAGAACAAATCTATTGAAGTCGCTGATAAAATGAAATTTCTGGGGGTAACATTAGATCCAAAGCTCACTTGGGAAATGCACGTGAACACAGTAACCACAAAACTAAGTTCTCTGTGTTATGTAATCCGAAATATAAAATAATAATAATAATAGAATTTATTCATCAATCAAAGGTTATACAAGGCATTATACATACACATACATAACACTTATCAGACTAGTCAAGAAAGAAAAGAAGGTAATCTACAAATAAGTTGTTAATCGGAAACAAACCAGATAAATTGTACATAGAATAGTCAGTCTTACAATTATGAGATATCACGAATTATTTTATATATTAGACAATGGGAGTCCGAACTAGCAAAATTCAAGCATATAATACTTACTGTGAAATATGAAATTCCCATAGTTCATTAGTTGTGAGAATAACTATTTGTGTGGTATAGAAATGTTATTATTCATCCCTTATTTAGCACAAAAAAGGTAATTACATACAGTTGCATACAGTTCATCAGAATATAATTATAATTTACAACACAACAGATACAAAATACAAAACACATTCAACTTGGGTTGAATGTCAGTACTAAATAGATACAGGTTACTTCATCATATGATGCCTTAAACTTGTTTTGAAGGTATAGAGAGAGGTTGCATCTTGAATAGAAACTGTTTTATCTTCTTTTTCGACTTATATAAGAAAAGGATCTTTTAAAAAATATGTATTTTATTACCTAATTTATTGATGATATATGTATTTTCTTTCGTGGGCCCAATTATATATTATCAGCTTCTTTTGCTTGCGACTATCTCATGAAGAATTTACCAGCTTCTTCTGAGAACACTTCATTTGAAAGGGAAATGAGAGTGATTTCGTAATAGCTCTTCATTATATATATTAGGGAATAGATCATTTTCATCCAGGGGAGGAACCAAAGCACTTTTCATGAAGTAATCATACATTATATTGTCATTGTCAGTATTTCAAAACTTGTGGATTCATTAATTTCTACAAGACTTTCTCTTAGAAGCTCAAATCTCTTAGACAGTTGAACATATTTATTTTGATTGAAATTTCTTTCATCAATCTATCTGTTTTGGATTATCAGTAACTACAGTTCAACCCACTTTTACAGATCGATGAGATGCCGTCGTCCAGGTATCAGGAGTCATTTTCAATCAAGAAATTACAAGAGAAATTTTCCAGCGTCTCTTTCAAGAATGGCCGAGAGTTTATAGAAAATCATGCATTCGAATGTATAGGGGATGATGATTTGTGAAAACTCATATGCTCACACATGCTCAATGTATCCTATATTTTTTTGATGAATGTTATTTCATTTTTAAATGTTAAGAATATGTCCACTGTGAACCTATCAGATAATAATTGGCAATTTCTCAAAATAATGGGGTCTTGTCCCCACACAGTCCTTGATATGTGCCAAAATCTATAAGTGAAAGTACTATATTTTACTATAATGGCGGTTTATTTTGTAATAGTATTTTATATATCACGATCTTGTATACTCATTGAATTACTCTGAAGACAAATTTTATTACTCACTTGAATTCTTTATTTAGTACCTGAAAAATAATTGCGACTAAAAGTGTTTTTAATTTTATGTTCTCAAATATTTTATACTTTTACACAAACTGTTTTTCATATATAGATATGTATATACACATTTATAAAAATGTACATATATTTGTGTATGTATGTACTCACAATAAAAATTTTCCAACATTAAAACAAAGATTTTCTATTATTCTGACTGAATATTAACTTTATTAGGATGTCATCTCAATATTGGATGAAAAAATGTCAAGGAGCAAATCATTTATTCGAAAGTGTTTATTGATGTTTTTAGCTCAGCTGTAAAAGTTTGACATTATGAATATACTGACCCTTTACTTGATTAATTAATTAATAGCACTCACTATGCGGTAGCTTCATCAGTTGGACTGGTACATCAAACTATTCCGCAATGTCGTTTATATAACAGTAGGTAATTACAAAACTCTATTAGATAAATGATTAATGCTGGTAAACAGGTAGATTTTGAAAAAACGATCACAATTCAATATTACTTATAGAAGAACAAATAATTTATAAATATTAGATTGTTTCAAAAGTTTTGTCCTTTTTAATGTCATGTGATCAATAGAGAATTTTGTACTCTATACATTAATGCTATTAATTTTTTCACAAATTTTAATTTTTTGCATATTTTCAGCTCATTACTGTATGATGTTGACTAATTTTTGGCCAATTTTTCTCTACGAATTCAAATTGTCGAAACAGCCTGAAAAATTAACTGGGCTTTTGGCAATGATAGTGTTGATGAAAGCACTGTTCGAAGTTGATTGTGAAATTTCGTTCTGAATTTCAGCCTCAGAGATGAGTCCCGAAGTGAGCGACCTACAATAATCCAGGATGAGGATTTGAGGAGCCTGGTGGAGACTCACCCGCCACAAACGGTGCGTGGGATGGGGAAAGAACTGGGCGTCAGCTCTCATGCGGTTTTTGATGGTTTAAAACGTATTCAAAAGGCTCGAAAAGTAGGTTTCTCATATGAACGATCAAGACAAATTGTAATGTTTTGGGGCCTGTTCTTCTTTGCTTTTGCGCAACCAAAATGATCCTTTTTTGAATTGAATTGTTACGTGTGGTGACAAGCGATCCTCTACAACAGGAGGCGTTTAGGACAGTGGTTATACATCAATGAGCCACCCACGCCCCTTCCAAAGGTGAAAACTCATAAAAAAAGAACATGATTACCGCATGGTGGTCAGCAGCTGGTGTGATACACTATAACTCACTTCAACCGGGCCACCTATTGTGAAGAAATGACGAAATGTACCGAAAATTGCGTCAGCCGTAGCCGGTACTGGTCAACAGAAGAGGACTGATTCTGCTCCATAACAACCCATACTCACGTTTCACAAATCACAGGCCAAAAATAAAACGAATTTGAGCGTTGAAGTCTACCTCACCCACAATATTCTCCAGACCTCACGCCAATCGACTACCATCTTTTCCAGCACTTCGATAACGGTAAAACTTTCGCCAATCAGAACCAGACAAAAACGGCTTTAGTCGATTTAATCGATCACACAATTTTTATGCTGGCTGAATTGACTTGTAACGTTGGCAAAAATGCATTGATTTCAATAGCTCTTATTTCAATTAAATTGAATAAGTTTTCACTGAGATATTACAGTTTAAAGTACACTCATAAAAACTGACAAATCTTTTGAAACAACCTAATATGTTAATTATTGGCAATTAATAAGATAAATGATTAATTTTGGCGAAACATGTAATCTGATCTATTCTCATCAATATAGGTTTATAAGTGATATTCCAAATGTCTGCACATTTCTGTCATTGTACAATGCAGAATACAAAATTAATTGGAAATGCCGAATTTTTTGGATCTACCAAAAAAACGTACCCCTGGCGACATCTGTTGGAAACATGGATCGTTACTTCCCTCAGTTCCAATTTTTTACATAGAGGACGTTTCAACATTCAGACAATGGTATAAGGAGGTTCCTAGATATTGTTTTATCATCATTGTTGATCAAGAGGTAGAAATTTGAAGTCATATTTCTGTTATTAGTGGCAAATTATTATGTTTGAAAATGACTATCATTTCTAATCATCAATTATGGTCGTAGCATTGTCTATTAGACAATGGTTGAAGTAGAATTTTTCTGAATGTTCATAAGATTACCACGAGTGGCGCTATCGTTTGGGGAATCTTTATACCATTGTCAAATACTATGGTCAAATCGAGCTCCAATTGTAGATTATTTTCAAATTTGAATATTTCGAAGAAAAGGGACATATTGTTGATTATCCCTTGAAAATGATGTATCACAAATATAGTAGCTCTATTGGAGATTCTGAAGGAGTCGCTGGGAGTGAAGGGGTTGATAGCACATTGATGGTGAAATACTCTCCATTTTCCATATTTTCTATGATTCTATAGATAAGATGGAGGGCAAGTTTTAGCTGAGACACACTGTAGGTACGAATTGAATTGAACAAACACAGAAAAATATGAAAATATTTTTAAAAGGTGAATTGAAGCATCTATAACTTACAAGATTAGTGTTCAAAATGGTAGAAAAATATATAATTGAAAAGGAATGAGAAAATTGAAAACCTTGACACGAAATAAAGTAAGTTCAGAAGAAGAGATGTTGAGAATATTGTTGATTCAATAATTCCCATATTTTGTTATTCATTATTTTCATTAATGATTTATGTAGTCAATGTAATCGGATAAATCAATTACGGTTTTTGCCAACAATTCTAATTTATTAATAGGCAGTTGTTACAAAAAGAATGGTTCTCTAGGAATCGGTGATTCAGAGAACGGCAAGGTAGAAGGTGCAGTACTGGGGTTTTGAATATCATTTAAAAGGAACGGCTCAAATTTTATGTATTTAGTTCCAGAGTAACCCGGTGTATATAATATGAACCAAAAGAAAGCATGTTCCAACGTGTTAGGAATCACACGTTAAAAGGTTAATCCTTAACTCGCACAAGTTTCGACTTCTGAGGGTTGTCGTTCGTAGGGGTGCAACAGCCGTTAAAAAACAGATTTCAGATTTATTATTATTATTACGTCACTATTGTCAACTGAAAGGTCCTCTCTGTGAAAAATTGGAACTAAGTGAAGTAGCGATCTATTCGTCCACCAGATACCGCCAGAGGTACGTTTTATGGTGGGTTAATTTTATATTATGAAGATATCAAAGTTTTATTGGTAATCCCAAGCAGTCCTAACAAGTTTTTTGAAAATTAAACATTGAAACTCGGAATGTTGACTTTAATCTCGAAATTTCAACTTTAATCAGGAAATTACGACTTAAAACTCGAAATTTCGACATTAATCTCAACATTTCGGCTTTGAACTAGTAATTTTGAAAATTTTTCTCCAAGAAATGTTCATATTTTCAAATGTATTCGTAACCCTCAAATGAATTTTTAACAAATAACAAGGAAGAACATGAGGTTAATATAGGAGACGCGGAAAATTTCCAAACATCACCTCTTTTAATTTCGATTCATATAACATTGAAAAACAGTTCCAAAAAATGTGCATTGCAATAAACAAATGAATACTGAAGCACCGTACATAAGTAGTATTTACTTATATACTGTGACTGAAGACATACCATATTATACGTCATTATTATAAGAAAATTACTTGAGATTAGTTTTGTCACAGTCGAACATTTTGCTGATAGATGGCGATATCGCCTGAGACAGAAGAGTAAATCATCATGATTGTTACTCATGGGTGCAGAGATATTTGTGTGTTTTTCTTGAGCAGACAGTCACTATCTTTTCAAGGCGAATTTCTCATTGATTGAAGTAGACGAACGATACAGAACTGGCCTATCTCATGAGAATTGCAACTTGGCTCCCATTTTATGAAGGCAAACACTCTCGGCAGTTGTGTTGCAATCGGAAAGAATTTCTACCGATGATGGCACCTTTGTTGTAGTAATGAATATTACTGGAGTTTTTTCCCAACACCAAACTGTTATTTTAACACCTTGACACGTGTTTCGATCACCAAGTGATCATCTTCAAGCATTAAGACAGCTGATCGAAATAATTGAATGTCGCACATAGGTTATGATTATGTTTTTTTTGAGCTATTTTACTGTGAATTTATGAGGGGTAATACCAATAGAATAGAATAGCATATAATAGAATAGAATAGAACTTTATTAGCTACGTTACATATCCATACAATACATTTATAGCAAGTTAGTGTTTCATCTTTCGGAACAAGAATCGAAGTAATGTACAATTTAAAAAGAAAGACCAATGTTTCCACTGTAAATAGGAACATCACACATACACATGAATATGCATATAACTCCATATGCTCATCCTACACGACTAATAGTAAAAATACCTACAATAGAAGTATAAAAAAGTAAATACTATAAAATTCCCTAAAATTGACTAAAATGTTTTTCATTATGTCTATTATAGACATGAGAAACTGTTGAATAGGTGAAATAAATTACTGTCACTGAGGAAAAGCATAACAATATATGAAAACAGCTGATTATTAGACTCATTTTATAAGAGAAAAACATTTCCAATAAATATATCAACACCAGAAAGTCACAAACTTTTACAGAGTTTTATATCAGTATATATGAACATACTACCTACATGATAATTAACATATATACACATACAATTAGATTGAAAGGAATATGTGAAAGTTGTCTAAAAAAATTATATAGAAACAGGCGTTTCGAATATGAGTATTGCAGAAGTTGATCCAAGTTATACTTATGTAAAGAAAGATCAAGAACGTAATTCAATAATTTTCGTGGTTGGGTCATAATAATTTTTTCCAACTCTCTTTTCAACATAGACTGCGAGGAAAGTCTTTCACTTTTTTGTATTCGATATTATAAATTTTTAGACCTAGGAGTGGAAAACTGACTTATTGGCTTCATTCATATGTGGAGTTATGTATTTCTGGTATTCTGGTTATTGAGCATCGTTCACATTTCCACAA